GCCTTTTTTTAAGCCCCCCCCCCCCCCCCGCCCGCCCGAAGCCGAAGCGCAAGGGGGCCGCAGAGGTGGGTTGGGGGGCCGCGCAGAGCGGGAGGTCCGAGCCGCGCAAGGAAGGAAATCAAACAATATCCAGAGCGGGGGATAGAATATAGACAGATATATATTTAGACGGCTATATTTTCCCCCCTTGCCACAACGAAACGGGGTAAGTCCAGCCGGTTCCTGGGTTTCCTTTTGCCTTCCCCCGGAGCTCGTGGTACCAAAGCGCCACCTACAGCTGTTGCAGGCAAAGCCCAGCCGATGCCCGGAGGACCCGCAGGCGGGTTCCTGCAAGCGGGAGCTCTCTCGCTCTCTCTCACCCAGGGTGGCCCCGCCAGGCAGCGGGGGAAGAGGGAGCTCAGCCCCGGGTTCGCCTCCGCTATCTCGCCGGTCGGTCCAGGATGATGATCAGGAGGAGACGGAAGAACCACCACTAAACAGCACCATCATCACCACCCCGAGCAGAAGGTGGTGGAAGCAAGGCCTCCCGTTGCCCACCTTTCCAGCCACCACCACCACCACCCCGCCCGGGCGAGGGAGACGAAGCGCCCAGGCACGCACGCACACCCACCCACACCCAGCCCCCTCGCGGATCGTCGTCGTCGTCGTCGGCGGCGGCGGCGAAGGGGGTGTGTTCGCGTCCATGTGGGGGAACTTAATAAAGGCGGAGAGGAGGAGCCAAGGGGAGGAGTTCGGGCCTCGCCATTGGCTGTCCGGAGGAGTGATGTCACCCATATGAAACCCTGATAACTAGTTCGGGGAGAAGGCGCAACTTTTGCAGAAGGGGGAGCGCGATCCAGCGACGTCTCGGGGTCCGCGCGGCTACAGCTGCTGCTGCTGCAGGAGGAGGAGGAGGAGGAGGAGGACGGCGGCGGCGAGGGGGAGGGGAAAGAGCCGGAGCGAGAAGTGCTTCTGCCGCTGCTGGGAAAGAACGACCCGCCGCCGGGCAGCGGCGGGAGGAGAAGATCGTGGCTCTTCTGCTGCTGCTTTCCGAAAAGGAGAGCGAGCGAAGCACGATTGCAACTTGCGCACCGGGCTTTGCCGAGCAACTGCCCGCTTGAGCCAGCAGCCGGGGTGGGAGCAAAGCAACTAAAATTATATATTAAGCATTAAAAAAAACGCTGGGAAAGAACGACCCGCCGCCGGGCAGCGGCGGGAGGAGAAGATCGTGGCTCTTCTGCTGCTGCTTTCCGAAAAGGAGAGCGAGCGAAGCACGATTGCAACTTGCGCACCGGGCTTTGCCGAGCAACTGCCCGCTTGAGCCAGCAGCCGGGGTGGGAGCAAAGCAACTAAAATTATATATTAAGCATTAAAAAAAACCCCAAAGAGACCAGCAACGCAGGTTCCGAAGAGCCGGGGTGGGAGCAAAGCAACTAAAATTAAATATATATTAAGAATTAAAAAAAAAACCCAAAGAGACCAGCAACGCACGAGAGGTTCCGAAGGAGCTCCAGAGAAAACACACCCCTCACCATCATCAGCACCCCCACCCCCACCATGGTCCAGCAAGCGGAAAGTCCCGAAGCGGAGAGCAACCTGCCCCGAGAAGCGATGGACACCGAAGAAGGGGAGTTCATGGCTTGCAGCCCGGTGGCGCTGGATGAGAGCGACCCGGACTGGTGCAAGACGGCTTCGGGCCACATCAAGCGGCCGATGAACGCCTTCATGGTGTGGTCCAAGATCGAGCGGAGAAAGATCATGGAGCAATCGCCGGATATGCACAATGCGGAGATCTCCAAGCGCCTGGGCAAGCGGTGGAAAATGCTCAAGGACAGCGAGAAGATCCCTTTCATCCGGGAGGCGGAGAGGTTGCGCCTCAAACACATGGCCGATTACCCCGACTACAAATACAGGCCGAGGAAAAAGCCCAAAATAGACCCCTCGGCCAAGCCCAGCGCCAACCACAGCCCGGAGAAAAACACAGCCACCGGCGGCGGCGGCAGCAGCAGCAACGGCAAGAGCGCTAAAAGCTCCAGTAAAAAATGTAGCAAAGGGAAATCGTCGTCGTCGTCCTCCTCCTCCTCGCCGCCGCCGCCGCCTCCTCCTCCTCCTCCCCCCAAAGCGGGGGCGAAGCTGGCGGCCCAGGCGGGCGACTACGGGGGAGAGGATTACCCGCCGTTCGGGGCGCTGAAAGTGAGCAGCAGCAAGACGCTCAAGTGCGTCTTCCTGGACGACGACGAGGAGGAGGAGGATGACGACGACGACGACCTGCTGCTGAGGATTAAGCAGGAGGAGGAGGACGAGGACGACGAGGAGGAGGAGGACGAGGAGCAGCAGCACCACCGCCAGCAGCACCAGCACCAGCTGAGGCGGTACAGCGTGGCCAAAGTGCCGGCCAGCCCCACCTTGAGCTCCTCGGCCGAGTCGCCCGAAGGGGCCAGCCTTTACGACGAGGTGAGGGGCGGCGCGGGCGGCGCCCCCGCCGGCGGCAGGCTCTACTGCGGCTTCAAGAGCATGCCCAGGAGCGGGCAGCAGCAGCAGCCGCCTCCGCCGCCGCCGCCGGCCAGCCTGTCCCCGGCTTCCTCCCGGTCCATCTCCACCTCCTCGTCCTCCAGCAGCGGCGGCGGCGAAGAGGCGGACGACCTGATGTTCGACCTGAGCCTCAATTTCTCGCAGCCCGGCCACGGCGCCTCGGAGCTGGGCGTGGTGGGCTCGGCTTCGGGCAACCTGTCCCTCTCGCTCGTGGACAAGGATCTGGATTCCTACAGCGAGGGCAGCTTGGGCTCCCACTTCGAATTCCCCGATTACTGCACCCCGGAGCTGAGCGAGATGATCGCGGGCGACTGGCTGGAGGCGAACTTTTCCGACTTGGTCTTCACTTACTGACCGGCGGCCCGAGGCCGGGCGGGCGGCAGGCGAAGCGACGGGCGGGCGGGCGAACCGGCGGGGACGGAGGAGGAGGAGGAAGAGCAGGAAGAGCGAGCAACCCTGACATCGCAGGGACTGGAGGAAAGCGCGAACAGGAAAAGAAGAAGAAAAAAAGAGGAAAAAAATGAAAAAAAATCGGTAAAGGAATGATGATGCTAGTGCTTAAAAGTGGTGGAGTTTTGAAGTGAAGTATCGAGCAAAATGTGTTTGGGTTTCTCTTTTCTTTCTTTCTGTCTTTCTTTTTTTTTTTCTTTATACAGTCTTGAAGTTAGTTCCGAACCAAGTCCGGAGTTGTGATTTTTTTTCCTTTCTGATTTTTTTTTTTAATTGGCAATCACAACAGCAGCAGTAACGAGAAAAGGCTCATGGGACTGGGGGTTCAAAAAGATACAGAAGGCGCTGTTTGAAGCTTGTCGGTCTTGTGATTGAAGTCTGGAAAATGGTCTGCGGAAAAAAAAGAGGAGAAGTCGTCTTTGGGCAGTACAACTGTTACTCAAGGGGGGTTTATGGATTTTTCTGTTCTTTAATTTTTCCTACAAAGGTTTTAAAGGACCGTTTTGCGTTTTTGTATTTTTTTTATTTTTATTTTGTAAAAGGGACCATTTCAACTGCGTCTGTTTGTTTTGAGGGAGAAAACTGATGTCCTTCTATGCATCCAATTCTTAACAAAGCTGCAGGGAGCTTGAAAAAAAATAATGCAGACTGTGCAAACGCTTACAAAAAACAAAAACTGTGAACTGACAAGATCAGAGTTTACTTTTCAGATCAAATTGTTTATGGTTTTACAAATGTGATTTCTACTTGCCAACTTTTTTTTGTAACTTGTTCCCTTATACCTCCTTGATTGAATACCAGACAGCCTAGACCTCAGTACACAAAGGTATTGAAACATTTTTGATACATAACAGACCTCAGTCTTTTTTAAAAATTAATATATTTTCAGGCGTATTTTTGTACAGTGAAAGGGAACATACTTGCTGTGTTTTTTCAGTAAGACTTTTCAGGCACTTCTTCCCTTTTATTTTATTTTTTTAATTTTTTTCCTCTGTTTTTAGCATGCAAGTTATATGGGTACGTTTATGTCCTGGTTTTAAAAGGATTTTTAAAAAAAACAAATCCTTGCATCTAAAGGCCTTGTGGTTTTAAAAGAAAAAAAAGAAACAAAACACTTTTTTTGTACAGCTATAGTTCAGATTTGTTCAATATTTGTAGGTAAAGATTTATTGAAAATGGTGATATAGACCTCAGAGCTGTTATCTTAGTTTAAAAGATTGTATATGTACTGTACTATAGTAGGAATTTATGTATCTCATACGCTGTGATATGTTGATGGGGGCCCAGATGGAAGGTATGAAACTGGATTCTCTACTCTTTTTTTTAAACAAAAAAAAAGTGGAATGGGGAAAAAGAAAGGCACATAGGAAAAGAAAAGTTTCTCATTTTGTGCAATATAATTCTTAAAAGTACAGACCATCTGCATATTTTGTAGCAAACGATGGCAAAAAAAGCAGACTTGTGCACTGTCGAACATCATTGCCTGTTTTTTTTTTAATGCTGAAAGTCTGTATCTTGACAATTTTAATAAATCAGCTGGAACTGATAGAAACTCGATTCGCTATTAGTGTCTATAGGAGTAATGCTGGTGGACCTGGCGTGGATCCCAGCGCCCCTCACCCACCATGGAGGAGCCTTAGCTGAGAGACTTTACGGAGGAGCGCAGGGCAGAGAGGAGAAGAGGAGGAGGAGGCAGGCGGGCGGGTAGCAGAAGAGACTTCATAATAAAGGGCTGATTCGCTTTTTTTAATGCCTTTCTCTTGTCTTTCCCTCAGCTTCTGAGGTGCTCTCTTCAACCCCACCCCCAACCCTGGTTGTC